GGGGGGGGGGGGGGGGGGGGGGAGGGGAGAGAGAGAGAGAGAGAGAGAGAGAGAGAGAGAGAGAGAGAGAGAGAGAGAATATGAATCTAATAGTCTCTTACCGTAAATTTGTGGATTCAACTTTACCATAGGTATATGTGGATAGGAAGACAGCAGAGTGTACTAGACTTTGGTGTTGCCCATGCCTCCATCATGAGTCTAGTGGCCCACGGGTAAGGACTGCCCTGTGGTCTCATTTCCAGACTTCCCCTGGTTCCTTTAGCCTCTCCCCATGTCTATCTGTATCTTCTCTTTGCCTCTTTTGACCCAATCCATATTTCCTCTTCAGTTTGGATTCTATTTTCAGCAGTTATTCCTCAACATGGGTGTTGTTGGAGGGGATGGATGTTAAAGGTCCTGTTTAGGTGTTGAGTTCGGGCTGCTCCAGTCTACTTGGGTTCTCTATCCACACACAGTAGAGACAAGAAGATCTACAGGCTTCTGCTCCTCCTCCTAGATGGATGCTCCAAGCTTTCCAGTGACCACTTTTGTGATTTGAACTTCTCTGACTTTTAGGGTTATCAGAAGCCCATTTTCCTTTGTTTTGTTCCCTCTAACATATTTGAAACACCATTCCGGTCTTAACATTACTAGTGGTGATTCAATTTGCTGTGGAGCTGGCTGTGGGGTTTTGCTTTTCCTTCCCTGATTTCTGTGTTTCCATTGGGTGGTTTGGAGAGGTAATTTTTTTTTCCACCTAAGCACTATTTTGCAGATAAATAAACTCAGTCCTTTTTCCATTAGCATCTGTATGCCTGTATCTGATTAGCATTTTCCTGAGGCAGTTCAGATGTTCTTTGATTTACAGAGAGGTGACATCCTATTAAACCCACTGAAATTATAATTTGAAAAAGAATTTCTTGCTTTTCACCTTCTAATCATCCTGGCTTAACTTCTCCTTCTTTAAAGTACCCAGAGTGTTTATTTTAGCCTACAGTTGTATAAAACAATTGAACACAAAATCCATTTATCAAAAAATGTTGACTATCCATTGTACTTTTGTGAATACTAACTGTATGGGAAGCAAACCCAGACTCATGGTATAGACATGCTTCTGTCAGTCAGAATCATGATATAGACATGCTTTTGTCAGTCAGAATCATGGTATAGACGTGCTTTCACAACACTACAAAAAAGCTGAAAAATAATAAGCCAACTGGGAACCGTCTGTATATTGGTAAGGCATGGTGGTCATACTAAGCGCACATTTTAATACTTGAATGCCCCATAGAGAGTATCTCCCTGGTTCATGGGGGTCTATTGATTTCTGTTCATACCTATCCCCCCCTCTATTCTATAAAATCTCTGGGAGGCCCTTCCCCACTGTTGTACGTAATTCCTGTGCTCCCTTGGATCTTAATTGTGTCTCCATTTTCTTGCTCAAGAGATGAATTGTTTTGTTCTGCTAACTGGTTCTGTGGTGATATGCTGCCTCACTGGGAACCTCCAAAGAAACTGTTCATGAACTGAAATCTCTAAAACTGTGGACAAAAATAAACATGTATTTCAAAATAAGTTATCTTGAGTATTTGTTATTGTGATGCAAGCTGTAACTCAGCCCTGGATGTTCCCATGGAGGCTAGCAGAACAGAAACTTCACATCTGAAGTGTTCCTACATGATCTTTCTCCTTTCCATGCTCAGCAGCATGTTAGCACTGATTCTAATCCAGGTGGTAGAGGACGGGATTTAGAGAAGCATGGTCAGAACACCAAACACCAGAAGGAATACTGGTAAGCAGCAGTATTGGGATAAAAGCTCAAATGATACTAGGAGACAACCCAGGGTCATACTGGGATTCTGTGTTCTTGTAGAGACGAGAGAACACACTAAGAAGTGGTCATAGGTCCAGCTCACTTGCACATTCTTGGGCAGAGGACTTGGAACTGACCAACTGAGATTAGGAGATTAGGGAGAAAAGAGAGAACAGAAAGTAACTGCTTTAGGATCTCATTTTTTTTTTCTTTTTTTACAAAACTCATGTTTATTTGGAAATTGTCAAGTAAGCACTGGTTGCTAAAAAACCATATGATAAACAGTGAAATATTGAGTAGAATGATTTTAGGGGTAAACATTGTTTAGTTATTTCTTATGAATATATGTAAATAGATTTGTAGATATTAATAAAGTGTACCAACTCATAATGAATCTCAAGGGAAACACCAAATTTATCTAACAGTATAAATTGTAATGTAGTTATATTTTTTCCATTTTAAAACATTTTATTTATTATTATTGCTATTTATTTTTTTCCAATGGCAATGTTTTTCATATCTACTAATTATTAAGGAGCAAATTTTTATGCTTTGAAGAATTTTTTTAATTAATTAATTTTTTTACACCCACTTCCCAGATAGCACCCTCCCATAGCCTCCCTTCCCCCACTAGAGCCCTTATACTCTGATATCCCTGCTACTGTCTGCTGTGTTGTTGGCACCCCCAGCCATTCCCCACTTAACTCATCTTTGGATAGCTTAATATATCTCTGGGGTTTTGTTGTTGTTGTTGTTGTTGTTGTTGTTTGTTTACTTTTTTGAGACAGGGTCTCCCTGTAGCCCCAGCTGCCCTGGAACTTGCTATGTAGACCAGGCTGGCCTTGATCTCATGGAGATGTGCCTGCCTCTCCCACCTGAGTATTTGGATTAAAGGCATGCACCACCATGCCTAACTAGTTTAATATATCTGAAGCAGATTTATTTTCAAGGCATTTAAAGTTATTTCTGTGTAATATGATGCAGGGACATTTAACACTATACAGAAAACAGACTTTAATTTTACAGACAGAGATAAATGGTATTGAATGGGAAAGTTTGAAAGAGGCAACATTTAAACTAGTGATTCCAAATCCACAGCAATTTTATAGAAGGAGAGAATATACGAAGGAAGTGAGGGTGGGGAGAGCATATCGGAGGCATGGAGGAAATTTCCAAAGGAAGACAAGAAATGGCCACAGGATTCCAGAAACATCCATCAAACCTGCCAATAAATGAATGTCTTTATTTGTGTACAAGTCCATAAAGGCACTCTGTGGGTATGTGAATAGTTTACATAGATACCAGGGCTATATTCCTTCAGTTTCTAGGAGGGAGTGTGTCAGGCATTTGGTAACCTGGTTTGAAGGTAATCAAGGGTCAAAGAACAAATGGCTCCTAGTAGGATATTCAAGATAATTTCTGAGGAATCCACAGAAGCTCCAGTGTGTATAGGGCACGTCAGTAAGCTCAGTTGTATTATAATTAAATAATTTTCATATGGGGTTCTCTTATTAATAACTAAGTAGACTTTCCCCCTGTAAGCAAGGATGTTACTATTTTGACATCAGAATAATAAGTAATTTTACATATCAGAGTCTTTTATATTTTCTGTTTCAGTTGTTCTTCCATAATTAGAGAAGAAGCCCCAGAATTGAGGTCACTATGACTCAGCTCCTTGCTACATTAATATTTTTCAAATTATTATGCATCCATTTCCTGCTTACTGGATATGGCAGAGAGCATGGTGCAACAGAACTCAGCTAGGGAGACAGCCCTTCACCCCTGAAGGTCCTCTTCCCTCCATCTTTCCGCCTCAATGGTCCCTTCTTACTTCCTGAACGAACCTGTTCTTTTTCTCATAGATGTTAATACCATGTCCCTGCACCAGTCAAGGTTAGTAAACATCAATCACAAACAAAAAAGAGCTCTTCAAGAGTTGTAAAAGGAGTCACTAAAAAGAGAATAGTTGTAGTTTACTAATTTCTGTTACGGAATATAAGAACTGTGCTGCGAACGCTTTTCAGCTTTCTTAGAAGTAATATTAAATAAAACCACCAAGAAATCATGCTGGGGATTGTACTCAGGGCCTTGTTCATGACAGACAAGAACTTTACCACTCAGCTGCATCCCTAAAGCTGGAGCATATTTCTAAATTAATATTAGTGTTGAACCTGGAGAAATAGTTTTAATTTCTCATAAATGATTGTGCACTCGCCATTTCCTTCTAAAGAACAGCTCCAAGAAAAGTCAGTTTAAAATGGTTCATATTGCCTCCAGAGGATAAGACTGTGTGTGTGTGTGTGTGTGTGTGTGTGTGTGTATCTGGCGTTCTTAGACCCCATTCTTCCCACACTGTCCCCCGAGTTGGACTTACTGTTCTTAACGTCTTTGTCATTCAACAGGAGTTCTCTGGAGCAGATACCCAGACCTTCAAGTGACATTCAGTGGATTCCAGAGCAGATTTAACCTGTCAGAATAATAACATACTTCACTCTCCTGGTCACATGGAAACAAAGCCGGAGTGGGTAACAACTTTACAGGAAAGGAGTTCCATGGTGTGTCCTCGCATGAATTATCATTTCTGTTTACTTAGCAAATCTGAAAGTAAACTCTTCTCCACCCCCAAACTTATTCTATTAAATTTCCTTGTTTTTTTGGGGGGGGGGAGGGGGGAACGACCATACTTCTCAGCTGCATTCCAGTTTTCCAGATTTTCATTCATATATTTGCTCAATTCAAGCATTTAACAAATATCCATCTGGTTCCTGTGTTGTGTGTCACAGTCCTGGGCATCCTTTGGTGGAGGCAGTGAATGTCACCTTGTTCTCAGGAAATTTTAACTCAGCAGACTGCTGAGTGCATCCTTTCTGCTTCCTGTCCTGTCTAACCACAGGTCGCGGCTCTCACAGGGAGCCCCTTCCTTGTGCTGGGCCCACAGCAGTTAAGTGCTTAGTGGCTCCCAGTACCCTGAAATTTAGAGCCTCTATAATTCAGTTACACACAGTTTACTCTGTACCAGTACTTCAAAATTTTGGCTGTGCATCAAGATCCACTAGTAATTTGGGGGAAGGTCTTTCTTAGTTTTGGCACAGATGCCCGGGAACCTACCCGTGTAATGCTCCCATGGGGTTTCTGATGTGCACTCGGACTTCAAAAGTCAATTCAATCTCTTTACTGGTCAGTCTCTTTACCTTCTGCTGGCTATACAAATCCATGAATGTTAGTCTTGAAAAATACCACACTTCTGAGCCTTTGCCTCTATTCAGTATGCTGGAACCTCTCCCACTAGGAAAGCTGTAAATCTAGCTCTAATCCCTAAGGGTAAATGCCATGCCTCATTCCACTTTGCCTCTCCCAAGGATCAAGAGCTGTTTATTGAATGAACTGCGCAGCTTAGTGCCCACCCTTTCCTAACCTTAGTCTCAGTCCTTCAAGTGGCCTTTCTTTCTTTTCTTTTTTTTAAGTGTGAACAGTTTAGGAACAGAACTGTACTACCCAAGGGATTCATGGTAGCCCTCTGTTACTTTATTTCTGGTGATGTTTACCTGTGTATTCTTAATTAAAATGATTTTGCACATTCGTTGAGAATAGAAAATATCTTGTGTCTGAATTCCTTCAGCATATCGGATGATGTGCTGTGCATAAAACATTCTCAACATGTGCCTGTTCACTATGTTCCCTTCCTTCATCTGAAACTTAGCCAGCAATGCCGGGTTGAACCTCTATCACATTTTAATCTCCTTTTACCTCTTCTTTCTCACCCAGCCATGAAAGTGTCTCTAAATTTAAGAATTTGTGTGATTAGATTGACTCTATCTAGATGATGTGTGTTAATCTCACTGTGGAGCCATCTGTTTAGAATCTTAATCCCATCACCCCCTGCACTGTTCCTTTTTTGTTGTGTGATGTTAAATATTAGCAGCTCTGGAAGGTCTCGCTCCTAAATCTCCAATTGATAGAGAGACAGGCTCAAAAACTCAATTAACATTTTCCAATCCTGAGCTAGAGACCATCAGAGCTGACATCTAACCTAGTAGGTGGAACTGGAACTTGCATTTTTAGTAATTTTTCTTTTGGTATGTATATTTTTGTATGTGCATGCCATGGAACATGTATGGAGGTCAGATGACAACTTTCAGAGTTGGTTCTCTCCTTCCAACACATAAGTTCTGGGGTTTGAACTTAGGTCATCAGGCTTGGCAGCCAGTGCCCTTATCCACTAAGCTATTTTATCACACTGAGTTTGTTCTTTTAACCACCTTCACATTTGCTGCCTCCTGAAAGTTATCCAGATTTGGTTGGCCTCTCTCCATAATTTCATTTGAAATCATAGCCTTTCTGGAAATTCCTCTCCAATAGACTTATACCATATTAGTAAAGGTGAAGCATTTTTACAATGAACAAGGCCTATCTGTCAATAGCATTTGAGTTTATACTTCAAGTAAGTATTGTATTATGATTAGCTCCACTTTACAGATGCAGCAACAGTAACTGAACATTGAATAAAGTGGCTTCTTCCAGCAACAGTGCTGATCAGTAGCACAAGTAAGAGCATGGTAGTCAGAAAGAGGGACTCTGTGACTTGAGTGTCTCTGCGGATGTAATGGCGTCAGTATAGCTTTGCGTTGTAAGCATTAAAAACAGAGTTTTCATGCCTGTGACTTGAGAGTACTGAACTTGGGGATGGCCCCAGCTTTTCTGCACAGAACTCTTTCCCCTTTGCCATCTTCTTCTATAGTCAGAGTCAATTTTTCTACAGTAACTATCACGGACAAGTCCCTACTGGAAAGCCTGAAGTGCAATCCAGTGATTATAGATGAAGGAAACTTCTAACCTGATGCTCAAGGCCCTTTAAAATATGGGTGCAATTGTAGCAGAGGGGGTGGAAAGCTGTAAGACCAGAGGCCAAGGAGGATAAGAGGAAAACAGTGTCTTTCAGACGTGACAGGACTGCCGCACTCATGGACCCACAGCAGCTGTAGAAGACCTGCGCAAGACCAAGCTAGTCAACATTCTAACATGGAAGGAGAACAGGAGCTATGGACAGTTGATGGCTTCTAGGGGAGGGAGAGTCAGTTTTCTTTATGGATGTGATCCCTAGTAGGTCAACCGTGCTCCAGTGGATGGCCCCACACCCATGAGCATATGGGCATCACAATTTGGACTCCATGGATTATTTTTTTAAAAGAGGATATAAAGCTGGAAGGGTAGGGAGGTGGGATGGATCTGGGAGGAGTTAGGGGGAGAAGTGGGGAGTGAATATGATCAAAATACATAGTATGAAATTCTCAAAGAATCAATAAAGATATAATAAAAATACGGGCTCCATCTTTTATTTCAGCAGTGTTATGGTTTGAATGTGAAACGATCCTCATGGGTTCACATGCCTGAATAGTTGGCTCTCAGCATATAGCACTGTTTTGAGAGGTTAAGGAACCTTTAGGCAAGAAGGCTTAGATGAAGACAGTGGGTCATTGGGGTGGAGGGGCACTCCATTTCTGGTCCATCCTTTTTTGTTCTGCCTCAGATGTGAGGGGTTAAGAAGTCCCAGCCAAACACTCCCACCACCATAAAGCCTCTGTGGTCACTCCTTCCTGGTCGTGCCTTCCCTGACATAATACACTGCATCCCTCAAACTATGAGCCAAATTCCTTAAAATTGCTTTTGCTAGGTATTTGACTACAGCAATGAGAAAAGTAATGAAGTAGGTATTACCTCAGTTCTTTTCTTTCTCACCCACCACAAAATCCTACCATTTAATTCTATTCTGCAAATGTGCCCTTCTTCTCTCTAACTAGAGTGCCTTACAATACTATTCCTTCTAGAGAGCCTTTACAATTCCCAAGAAGGCTCGTTTGTTCTCAGAGCTTGATCACATGCAATCTCTGAAATGTTGCTTTTCCTGGGCTTCTGGGAGAGAGGCAATTTTCATTCCTCCAGGTTAGCTTTCTCAGGTCTCTGTTGATGATGTTGGCATTCCTGTGACCTTTGTCCCTTACATCAGACCATGAAAGTCTCAAGACCAAGGAAAATTCCCTGACTCAGTTTTATGTGTTTATTATTTTTTTTATCCCAACTCCTCTGCCTCATGATGGGCAGTAAGTTCTTGATATGTCTTCATTTGATTCTGTATTCATTGCTTGTCATTTTACTCATAGAGAAAATAAAATTGTCAGATTAGTAGGGTCAGTACAGGGTTTGCATTTGAAACAATAAAAAATGAGTAATTCTAATCTTATGCTGTAAAAAGTCTAAGAAGCACTTGAAATTCTACCACTCTTTTCTTTCCTGGGAATGATCTCTGTCATCTCCCTGTTTTTTATTGACACTCTCCCCTTCCTGCTCCCAGAAAAACACTGGTTCAACCAATTAGCACTATATTTATTTGGTCCTTGATGAGAACAGAGACACAAGTTGAGTAGTGATTCTGTCATGGACCTTCACCTTGCTGGGGCTTTGGTGCCCTGGGCCCATGAGTGGTGGTAAGAATGAAAGTCACCATCATCATTGTAACCTATCAACCTCCTAGGTTATATGTCCCTGGAATAATCTCTTTCCTCTTCTATGAAATATATATGTCAGCAATGTCAAGTTGTATATAAATATGCAGTAATTATGGATAACATAAAGAGAGGTATGATGAGGAATGACCAGGCTAAGAAAGGCTAAAACATTCAATGTAGCACCCGGCCTGTGGTAGGCACTCAATACAAGAACAATCACAGGTCACATATTTTCATCACAGTGAGGTAGATATTCTGAAGGGATTTCTTAGGAATAAACTGGAAATCAATTATGGGCTCTGGAGCTTAACTGGAGTTTAGGGTAGAAGTAAGCCTTCTTGCTTCCCAGGTTAGTAATGAGTGGTGTTCATCAGAATGGTCAAAGGGGATAACTCTTTTTTAAATAATATTTTTATTAACTCTTCAAGAATTTCATACAATGTGTTTTGATCTATATTCAAAACCCTCTACTACCTACTCTCAGATAAACCATACCCTGCCCAATTTCTCCAGCTTTGTGTCTTCTTTTTTTTTTTTTTTTAATCAAGTCCAGTTGTGGTCCCCAAATATATTTGGGTGTGGGGAAATATCCTGGAGTGTGGTCAACTGACACTTTTAAAGTCATACCTTTAAAGAAATCTGACTTTCACCAGGGCATGGTGGTGCACGCCTTTAATCCCAGCACTTGGGAGGCAGAGACAGGTGGATCTCTGTAAGTTCCAGGCCTGCCTGGTCTACATAGTGTGTTCCAGGCCAGCTGGGGCTACAGGTCAAAAAGACCAAAAAGAAAAAAAAAAAAAAAAAAGGAATCTGATTTTCCCTCTCCCAGCAACTTATTGATTGCCAGTAGCTCCTCAGTTAAGGACAAGGCTTCATGTCCATTGCTCCCATCCATGCTGGGATTTTGTCTGGCTTGAGCTTACCCAGATTTTGTACAAGCTATCACAACTACTATGAGTTAATA